GCTGACCTGACAACAAGTAACAACAAGATTAAAAGGAACATCTTGACATTAAGAGTGGTTTGAAAAGCAAACCAATTTCCTAGATGGATGACTTTCTCTTTTAAAAAGAGACTGGATGGCTATCTCCCAGGAATGCTTTCACTGGAAATCCTGCATTTAACAGGGAATGGGCCCCAGTGGTCTTGGGGTCCCTTTCAGCTCTATGATACACAGAGGAGGGAATCGTGTAGTCCATCAGAGGTTGTTGGATTGCAACTCCCAGCAACTCCAGCCAGATGGTAAAGAAAGCTGAGGGTTTCTGCACAGAAACATCAGGAGGACTACAGATTCCCATTCCTGGAATATAGAAAATGTTCCTCAGACATCTCTTCCAATTTATAATTATCTTCATAGGAAGAGAAAGCTGAATTACGTGCAGTCAGATTAGTACATTCAATCTAGTATTGCCAACTTTGACTGAATGTGGCTTTCCAAGGTTTCAGGCAGCATCCCTTCCTTCCTAACCCTTCCTGGAGGTCCCCAGGATTTTCTCAGGGCCTCTCATTCAATCATGAACAAAACCAAATCCTGCTTGGTTTCCAAATCTGGATGAGGTCAGAGATGTGCAGGGTAGTACATTGGTTTTAATTACGTGCTAAATTACTTTCCAAGCTGTTCATATATGTAGAATATTGTTATAACAGCACAAGATGGAAATGCAATCAAGTCTAGCAGTCTATCAGTCCAAGCTTACGTGTATTTAATCAGAAGTAACCTTCAATGTATTCTGTGAGATTGATTCCCTTGCATGCCATTGATGCAACTGGAATATTTGACTATGACTCTGGGAGTAAAGGGTTCAAATATCTGCTCAAACATAGAAATTCATGGGGTAAGTCACACTCTCAGCCTATGAAAAAGGCAATGGCAAACCTCTGAAGAAAACCTTGCCCTGACAATTAGTGATAGGTTTGAGATAAATTGGAATAGACTTTGAAGGGACATAACAAATCTGTAAAATAGGTTTGCCACTAATTAAGGAAATTAATACAAATTAATCTGCCTAATAATAAATCAGTTGAGTATTCTATCTCTAGTTTCAGGTCATCTACATTGACAGAAACATCTGGATTTGGTGACAACTCAGACCGAGACAAGGAGAACTAGTACAGTAAAGTCTTTAGAGTCACTTAGGCAACAGTGGACTTCTGTACCTTTTTGGACTACACTTTCCATAATCTCTCATTATTGGCTATGCCAGCTAAGGATGATGGGAGCTATAGGTCAAAAACACCTGGAGTGCAGCAGCTATCTGCTGTTGTGTACGTTCAAGTTATTTCTGAGTTATGGCAACTCTCATAACAAGGTTTTCAAGGGCTGAGAGTGTGTGTCTTGCTCAAGGTCATCCAATGGGTTTCCATGGTTCAGTGAGGAATCAACCCCTGGTCTCTAGGGTCTACTCCTGGGTTCAAGTGCTGGGCAGATGCTTCAGAAATGGTCCAGGTTCAAGTAAAATATGCTGCTGGATAAAGTTTACATTACATTATCCTTGGACTGTGTCCTGTTCTGAACATCACAGTTAAAAAAGCATAATGACTGGGATGTTTGTGTGAGCCAGTTCTTAGAGTTGGGGCTTGTCACGAGTTTTGTGGTATCTCACCATCCCAGGTCTGTTTGTGTGCACTTATTCTACAATTGCAGTGTGAGGTGGTCCAGAACAAGCACTATCTTAGGTACGTCTGCTCAAGAGTAGGATGCATAGGGTTCCATGGAAATCGTTCTGACAAAACTGAAAGCATTGCAGCTTGAAATGATCAAGGTACCAGGATTTCTTAGCTAAGAGAAACGGCTACCACATTTGTGACTCTGAGGGCCCTTCCACACAGCCCTATATCTCATAATATTGGCAGATAATCCTACATTATCTACTTTGAACTCGAATATATGGCACTGTGGACTCAGATAACCTAGTTCAAAGCAGATATTGTGGGATTTTCTGCCTTGATATTGTGGGATATAGGGCTGTGTGGAAGGGCCCTTAGAAATGCATGAGTGGAGAACAAATTAATCAAACTCCCCCAGTCATTCCTTACAGGGGTTTTGCTATGTTTGACTGCATCTACGCTGGCTCAATACTACAGATTCCCAGGAGAGAAGGCTAAAGACCTTGTAAAACTGCAACATCCATAGCACTGAGCCATGGCAGTTAAAGTGGTGTCAACTTAATTTTACATTGTAGCTGCACCCTTGGTCACCTTCTTCTGAACATGGTCATGCTATAAGGTCTTCTCATGAATGATTTGAGTATATAACACCCCAAGCCTCACTCTGAAAGAACCACTGCTTTCTCATGGGTTCTGTTCCCCCAGCATCAAGCCTGAAAGTTCGTTTACACCATACAATTATAGCATTATGACTCCACTTTAGCTGTCACGGCTGCGTCCTGTGCAATTATGAGTTTTGTAGTTTGGTGAGGCCAACGTAGTGTGCTTTTACCAAGTCTTTAGCATCCTCTTCCAAAGAATGCTGGTGCCTCCCCAAACTACAGCTTCACGATAGAATTGTGCCTTGACAGTTAAAATAGTGTCAAACTACACCAATTCTACATTTTAGATACACCCAAGGTAACAATAGGAAGTACTCCCATCTTCTACCCAACATATATACCGTATTCCTAAATGATAGTGTGTGTCTGAGATAATTGAATCCAAACTACTACATCCTTAGGTTTCTCTCCACTGCAGAATGAATGCAATGGGTTGTTGAAGGTTTTTTCGGACATAGCATATTATTTGAGAACATAGAAATGCTGGACCATTCCAACAACCACCATGTCAGACTACACAGAGAAGCCATTGAAATCCAGAAGCATGTGGACAATTTCAACAGAAAGGAGGGAACCATGAAAATGAACAAAATCTGGCTACCAGTATTAAAAAAAAACTCTAAAATTAGAACAGCACAACAACAGAGAGGAAACAAACAAGGATGCCTAATCACCTCTCAACAAAAGATTGCTCCAGGCACTGCCAGGCAATCAAATGCTAATCAGGGTGATCAGTTGAAACATTCATGCCTAGCTCCAACAGACAAGAGTCCTCTGTCCCACCCTGGTCATTCCACAGATATATAAACCTATTGTCCTAATTCCAACAGACCTCACTCCCTCTGAGGATGCTTGCCATAGATACAGGCGAAACGTCATGAGAAAATGCCTTTAGAATATGGCCATATAGCCTGAAAAAACCTACAACAACCTATTGGTACTATTGTTGGTCAAAGTGGTCCCTGGTAATCATAATAATATTTTTTTTATTTGTCGTGTCAGGGCAACCAGTCAATTATATTACATTTCTAACAGAACAAAGCAAACAAACAAACAAACAGACAAAATACAAAATTTGTGAGTTTGGTAGTTGATTAAATGTCCTTTGACCAGTATCTGGGCACTTGGAGTGCTTCTGGTGTTGCTGCAAGAAGGTCCTCCATTGTGCATGTGGCAGGGCTCAGGTTGCATTGCAGCAGGTGGTCAGTGGTTTGCTCTTCTCCACACTCGCATGTGATTCTACTTTGTAGCCCATTTCTGAAGGTTGGCTCTGCATCTCGTGGTGCCAGAGCGCAGTCTGTTCAGCGCCTTCCAAGTCGCCCAGTCCTCTGTGTGCCCAGGGGGGAGTCTCTCATTTGGTATCAGCCATTGGTTGAGGTTCTGGGTTTGAGCCTGCCACTTTTGGACTCTCGCTTGCTGAGGTGTTCCAGCTAGTGTCTCTGTAGATCTAAGAAAACTATTTCTTGATTTAAGTCGTTGACGTGCTGGCTGATACCCAAACAAGGGATGAGCTGGAGATGTCTCTGCCTTGGTCCTTTCACTATTGGCTGCTACTTCCCGGCGGATGTCAGGTGGTGCAATACCAACTAAGCAGTGTAATTTCTCCAGTGGTGTAGGGCGCAGACACCCTGTGATAATGCGGCATGTCTCATTAAGAGCCACATCCACTGTTTTAGCGTGGTGAGATGTGTTCCACACTGGGCATGCATACTCAGCAGCAGAGTAGCACAGCGCAAGGGCAGATGTCTTCACTGTATCTGGTTGTGATCCCCAGGTTGTGCCAGTCAGGGGATGAGCTGGAGATGTCTCTGCCTTGGTCCTTTCACTATTGGCTGCTACTTCCCAGCGGATGTCAGGTGGTGCAATACCGGCTAAGCAGTGTAATTTCTCCAGTGGTGTGGGGCGCAGACACCCGTGATAATGCGGCATGTCTCATTAAGAGCCACATCTACTGTTTTAGTGTGGTGAGATGTGTTCCACACTGGGCATGCGTACTCAGCAGCAGAGTAGCACAGCGCAAGGGCAGATTTCTTTTTTTTTTTGTCGTGTCAGGAGCGACTTGAGAAACTGGAAGTCGCTTCTGGTGTGAGAGAATTGGCCGTCTGCAAGGACGTTGCCCAGGGGACACCTGGATGATTTGATGTTTTTATCATCCTTGTGGGAGGCTTCTCTCATGTCCCATGAGGAGCTGGAGCTGATAGAGAGAGCTCATCCGCCTCTCCCCGGATTCGAACCTGCGACCTGTCGGTCTTCAGTCCCTGCCGGCACAGGGGTTTAACCCACTGCGCCACCGTGTGGCATAGCGCAAGGGCAGATGTCTTCACTGTATCTGGTTGTGATCCCCAGGTTGTGCCAGTCAGCTTTCGTATGATATTGTTTCTAGCACCCACTTTTTGCTTGATGTTCAGGCAGTGCTTCTTGTAGGTCAGAGAACGGTCCAAAGTGACTCCCAGGTATTTGGGTGTGCTGCAATGCTCCAGTGGGATTCCTTCCCAGGTAATCCTCAGAGCTGGGGATGCTTAATAATAATAATAATGAAAAAGGTTGGGAACGACTGACCTATGGTGTGGATTTCCACCTACTGGTTCAACCTGTGCCTTGCTCGGCCAGCAGAGTCTGGGTTCGTCCACCAGGGGGCGCGCGTGCCTGCGGGAAAAGCCCCGAACGCGAGGCCAGCGAGAGGCAGAGGCGGGCACTTTGGAACCTGGCGCGGGATTGCCTCGCTCCGGCTTCACTTTGTTCGGCTTGGCGGCGGCTCTGCTCCTTCCCTCCGCTTCTCCGGGACCTCCTCCGTGCCTCAGGCGGCCCTCCTGCCTGGGACGGTCGCCTAGCCGCCTTTGCTGGTCTTGGGACCTGTCGGGGCGCCCCTTTGCAACCCTTCTTCCCCTGAACGAGGGGCGCTTTTTGGAAGGAAAAAGGAGGCAAAGAAGCCCAGGTAAGCAAAGAGACTGGGATGATGGTGCGGGCTGTGTTTACCCTTCTCGAGCTGGGGAAAGGCTGCTCTGTTTGGGAGGGAAGAATCAAGGCAGATTCCTACCGCGACTGCCTTCCCTGACCCTCGAGACCCGTGTTTCCCCTTGAGTCGCCCTGCCTTGCGTGTCAAGGCGCGCGTAACGTGTGAATCGACCCCCTCGGAGCGGTGTTGCGGTGACAAAATGGCAGCTTCGGGGGAAAGGGGCTCCTCGCTGTGGAGACAGGGAAGCGGGGTCTCCAGGGTGGATCTATAGGGATCTAGGCTGCTTCCGACTCGATTCCCCTTCCTTCTTCCCTCCCTCCCTTTGCGTTTACCTTGTAACCTGAGCGTTGAGCGGCCACACCTGTGCCTTCCCTCCCTCCTTTTCCAGCTGGGTTTCTGTTTGGGAAGATGCTTTCTGTACCCCTTGGTTTCCATTGCCTTTTGGGTTAGGCGGTATAGTTTCCAAAGCTTCTCCTCAGCTGCTCCATACTGGTTTTGAGGACCTCCTCGGAGCTCTTTTTCGGAGAGTCAAGGAGTTGGAAGAGGCTCCAAAGGGCATCCAGTCCAACCTTCTGCCAGGCGGCAACATACAATGGAATCACTCCTGACAGATGGTCATCTAGACTGATTCAAAGATTCTAAGTCAGGCATGGACAGGTTTTGTCCCTTCTGGTGTTTTGGACTCCAACTCCCACCATTCCTAACAGCCTCAGGCCCCTTCCTTTCCCCCCACAGCCGCTTAAGCGGCTGTGGGGGGAAAGGAAAGGGCCTGAGGCTGTTAGGAATGGTGGGAGTTGGAGTCCAACCCCCTGGAAGGCCAAAGCTTGCCCATGCAAGACCACTTGGCCGGTCCAACAGAGTTGATGGCATAAGGGTATCACTTAAATGCTGGTGGTCTTGCTTTTTCCAGCACGCTGACATTTGTCTGCCTATCTGCCCAAGAGATTTGCAGAATTTTTCAGAAGCAACACTGAAGGAACCCCTCCAGGCAGGCCCGTAGCCAGGATTTTGATTCGGGGGGGGGGGGGGGCTGAGTCTGAGAGAGGGTCTACCCTAGCAAACCTTTTGTATCATTACCCCAATACCCCCATGCATATGGGATATATGGAGCATGGTGATCAGATCATGATATGAATAAACATAACAGTTTAAATAATGTACCAGTAAGTCCTTTTCGCAGACCATCATGAGAATTTCGGGGGGGGGGGGGGTTGAAGCCCCCAAAGCACCCCCCCCCCTCCGGCTACATGCCTGCCTCCAGGAGTTGAGTGTGACATCTGTAGACAATGCACGTTTTGCAGGCATATAGCAGAGTTTGGAGGAAAATAGTTTTGTAAACAAGGACCTTGGTGTCTCTACAGTGAGTACATGTTGACATGTACCGCACTATTATCTCATGTTCCTTTTTTGTCTCATTGTCCAATAGTCCTGGAAATGTAAGTTCTTACTTGAAGCTGATCCTTGTTGTAAGAATTTCTTGTATTTCCCCATGAATTGTTTCCTAATGTAAGTGGAATTCACATTGCCTGCAATGTGAATTCATTGCTCTCTATCTTGGTCTTTAGAATAGTAGAACACAGACCTCTCCCCATCTCAATGGGATACCCCAGACTTGGCCTTAGTCACATCCCCGTTTGGACTACTACAATGCTCTCTACGTGGGGCTGCCTTTGAAGATAGTTCAGAAGCTGCATTTTTTTTCTGTGCCAGGAGCTACTTGAGAGACTGCAAGTTGCTTCTGGCATGACAGAATTCGTCATCTGCAAGGACGTTGCCCAGGGGATGTCCAGATGTTTGATGCTTTACCATCCTGTAGGAGGCTTCTCTCATGTCCCCACATGGGAAGCTAGAGTTGAGACAGAGGTTCACTCCGGTCCCCGGATTCGAACCACCAAACTGTCGGCCAGCAGTCTTACCAGCACAAGGGTTTGACCCGGTGGTTCTCAGCCTTCCTAATATCGCAATCCCTTAATACAGATCCTCATGTTGTGTTGACCCCCAATCATAACATTATTTTCGTTGCTACTTCACAACTGTCATTTTGCCACTGATATGAATCGAAATGTAAATATCTGATATGCATGTATTTTCATTCACTGGGCCAAATTTGAATACTGGTGGAGTTGATGGGCAGATTGGTTTTGTCATTTGCGAGTTGAAGTTACTGGGATTTTATCGTTAACGTACAATCAAAGAGCATTCTGAACTCCAGCAATGATGGAATTGAACCAAACTTGGCACACAGAACTCCAATGACCAACAAAAACTGGAAGGGTTTGGTGAGCATTGACCTTGAGTTTTGGAGTTGAGTTCACCTCCATCCAGAAAGCACTGTGGACTCAAACAATGATGGATCTGGACCAAATTTGGCACGAATACTCAATAATGCAAAATGTGAACACTCGTGGAGTTTGGGGAAAATAGACCTTGACATTTGGGAGTTGTAGTTGGTGGAATTTATAGTTTACCTACAATCCAAAAACATTCTGAACCCCACCAACTATAGAATTGGGCCCAACTTCCCACACAGAACCTCCATGATCAACAGAAAAGACTGTGTTTTCTGATGGTCTTTGGCGACCCCTCTGACACCCCCTCGTGACCCCCCAGGGGTCCTGACCTCCAGGTTGAGAAACACTGGTTTAACACATTGTGCCACCAAGTGCTCCGGTGGGTTAGCGCAGAGATGGACAGCTAGATTGCTAACTGCAGCGCCATACCATGAGCAGATGACTCCCATGCTGTAACAGCTGCACTGGTTGCCAGTCTGCTTTCGGGCAAAATACAAAGTGCTGGTTGTTACCTATAAAGTCCCAAACAGTTTGGGTCCAGGCTATTTGACCAATCACATTTCCCTATATAGACCATGTCATGCACTGTGGTCAGCGGAGGAGGCCCTGCTCTCGATTCCACCCCCATCTCAAGCACGGCTGGTGGGAATGAGAGAGGGGACCTTATTCATGATCACTCCCCATCTCTGAAACTCCCTCCTTAAAAAAATAGAAATGACCCCTACCCTCCTCTCCTTTAAGAAACTTTTGAAAACACATTTATGCACTTTAGCATATGGAGAGGAGGCGGACTAAGATACTGTAATGCTGGCAAACCCATTTGTACTTTATGATGGCTATGATATATTTTTAATAAACATCTGCGTTAGCCATTTCAAATGCAATTCATTTCCAACTGCTTTTAATGATATATGTTTAATGTTCACTCATGTCTCCGTTGGTCTATTGCTACCTAGTCCTCATTTCAATGCTGGACTAATTGGTATACATTTCTGATATCCTTATGCATTGTGCTGTTGAAGGTTTTCATGACCGGAATCACTGAGTTTTCCGGGCTGTATGGCCATGTTCCAGAAGTATTCTCTCCTGACATTTCACCCACATCTCTGGCAGGCATCAGAGGTTGTGAGGTCTGTTGGAAACTAGGCAAGTGATGTTTATATATCTTACACATTGGTTATTTTGCATACACACCCTTTAAGCCATGTAGAGTCCTATCTCGGTTTTACGAAATGATAGTTCACTCTATCTTCTTGTCTTGAGAACAGAGGTGTCAAATGAGGGAGAGACAAGTTTTCCCCACTTCTGATTCTCATTCTCTTTTTGAGATAAAAGAACACTTTTTTTTATCTTTCCCCTTTTTCTATCCATCTGCTCCCAAGCTAATTGCTTATTTAAGACTTCGGCAGTTGGAATAATATTTGCTGTTGGACTGTTGGAGAAACTGTGCCATAGCAAAATAAATTGCGTTTATTACAGCCTTGCAAATATATTCTTCTGCTTCAGTTCATAGAATCATAGAATAATAGAGTTGGAAGAGACCACGTGGGGCATCCAGTCCAACCCTCAACATGCAGGAAAACCACAATCAAAGCACCCTTGACAGATGGCCATCCAGCCTCTGTTTAAAAGCCTCCAAAGAAGGAGCCTCCACCACACTCTGAGGCAGAGAGTTCCACTATTGAATGGTTCTTACAGTCAGGAAGTTCTTCCTAATGTTCAAGTGGAATCAACCATTTCATGACTGGTTGAGAATATTTACCAAATATATAGCCATTCTTGGTGTAGTGCTCACAGATGTGTTAAAAATATAATCCCCACCCCATTCCCTCAAACATTTCACTGTAGAACGAAAGCAGTTTGACATCAGTTCAACTTCCATGGCTCAATGCTCTGAAATCCTTGGAGTTGTAGTTTTACAAGGTCTTTCACCATCTCTGCTGAAGAGTGCTGGTGCCTCTCCAAACTGTAAAAAACCAAGAGAATTCTGGGGCAAGGTACAAAAAACACTGCAAGAATTATTTTTCAATCCAAGATACAATTGGAGCCTGAATTATTTTTATTGGGAATGTCAAATAAATAAACAAAATTACTAAACTACAAAGTATTGCACTATGTGATAATAGCAGCATGGATATTATGTGCACAGTTTTGGGAAAAGGCAGACCTCTTGGCAATAGAAGAATGGATTATTAAATTTTTATAAATAACAGCAATTGATAAAATACCAGTAACGAACAACCACCCCCCCCCCCCAAAAAAAAAACCTTTCCCATTTTATCAAGGACTGGGAGTCATGTCTAAACTTGGTTAAAAAAGAGAGAAAAAAGTTTTATTTATAGAAGGCTTCATCATTTAATCTGTTAAAATCTTTGTTGGAAACTTATAAACAAACAAACAAACAAATAACTATGAGGCCAGAAGAAAGAATAGAAAAACAAAATAATAGAAAGCAGGAATGGAACTATATATGAATTTCTCCAACCCAAAGGACGGGAAGTCCCCACAAAGGAAGGAGTGATATGAGGGAAGGGCATAATCAAATACAGGAATTGTATAGATGTCAAAAAACAAAACAAAACTACAAATTTCATCGCATTGAACCATGACAGTTAAAGTGGTGTCAAACGTAAGGACACAGTTTACCATGACAAAATTTATTATCAAGGCAGATCATGCAAGCTAGAA